CTCGCAAGTTATTGCAATAGGCCAGGAATAAGATGACGAGAGCCTACCCTAGTGGGGAGGAGGAGGGTGGCAGGACCAGAAGGAAAGAAGGAGAAGGGTGATGGAGGTAAAAATGATAGGATGTGGTAACTGACTATAATAGAGGAGAGGTGGTGTATGTGTGTGAGTGCGTGTGTATGTGTGTGTACACATGTGTGCATGTGAGAGAGAGAGGAGAGAAAGAAAGAGGAAAGAGAAAGAAAAGTGAGAAAGAGGAGAGAAAGTGAGAGAGAGAAAGAGAAGAGAGAGAAAGTAAGAAATAGAGAAGAGAGAAAGAAAAAGTGAGAGAGAAAGCAAGGAAGGTGAGAGGAGAGAGAGAGAGAGAGAGAGAGAGAGAGAGAGAGAGAGAGAGAGAGAGAGAGAGAGAGAGAGAGAAACAGTAGCAGATGACATGTAGAGTGTGAGCTTGGGTGCCTGGGATGATGGTGGTGCCCTTGATAGTAATAAATGAGGTAAAGAAGAGAGAAGAGATTGGCAAAAGATGATGATAAGCTCAGTCTGGTTCATGTTGAGCTTGATTCCAAGTCTTTCCTAAAAATAACATGCTTCCCACTATCCACCCTTTCCCTTTAGAATGTAAACTTGAGGGGAAGGACCGTTTTATTTTTATGTGGGTATCTTCAGAGGCTAACACAATGCTGGGGACTTGGTAGGCACCTAATAATTGCCTGCTGAATGATCGCAGGAAGAGGGAGTCAGCATGCTGAAGTCGCCATATATTTACTTTTGAAACATTGAGCAAATAGCCACTTGTAAATATCTTCACTTATCTGCCCACTGTGTGTGTGTGTGTGTGTGTGTCTGTCTGTCTGTCTGTCTTTCTGTCTGTACTATGACCCAGGTCAGAGCTGCACATCCTTATTCATCCTTGAATAAAGCTAAAATTCCGCATCCCCAAAATCACAGATCTGGGAGGTGTCTCTGGAACCATGTAGAGCAAGACCTAGCGGAATAAATCTCCCCTCTGTGATAGAACTCTCTAGCTGCTTTATTAAGGAGTGATTTGGCAGGGGAGCTTTGAGGCCTGGCGATTCAGGCCTGACTCTTGAAACTAGCTCAGTTTTGCTATGTGATGACATTAGCTTCTTACAGAGTAGGCCTAGATAAATTAGATAGGAGAGGAGAATTAAGTGCTAATTAGGATTCTACATCTTCTGAAGTTCATCTTTCTCTGAATGCCCCGGGGGAATCCTCTCAGGCACTGGGAGAATGTGAACTGATTTTTCTTACTTATTAATGTTTGGGTTTTCTTTTTTTTTTTTTAATATAGCCAGAGGCTTAGGGGATGGGTGCATTTTACAAATATGAGAAATAAAGTCTCTTGCAGTCTGACTGGTATACTCTCAGGGAGTAAAGCATGACCGATTATTGTGAAGAAGGAGGTAGTTATTGCTAATGAGTTACTAGGTGCAGGATTGCTATGGAATTTATTCGGGATAGCACTTTCCCCTAGAGTTGAATCCATTTTGTGCGTGATGTATTTTTATAATTCTTTTCCTTATATGAATAATTGACTTATTCTTCTCTCCAGTCCCTCCTCCAGACCTGGATGTTTTCAAAAAGTGGTGTGCAGTTCATTCTCAGCGAAACATTAATATTTTAAGTTGTTTTGGGTGCTGCGCAATGAGTGAATGTTGGTTTGTTTTGGGTTTTTTTTTTCCCAGTTCATGGAAGTGTTTAATAATGAATGATCCTTCATTCATAAAACAAAGACGCTAGTTGATGACTTTTTTTTTCTTATTCCACGCACAAATATTCTGTTTGTTTCTTTCCTTGGAGAACAATTTTTTCTATTTACATTATTTTTCTCATAGGGCCTTGAAGTACCTGCCTACAGAATACTCTTTACTGCCCTACTTTACAGATGGGAAAATCCAATCAAGTGAGGTTAAACCAAGTGACATAGCCCCAGGTTACACACCAATCAGTAGTGTTAAGGTCTCCACCAAACTATATTTCTTGGTTCCTCTCTCTCCTTTTTATTAGATGTTCAGACATTTATTTAAAATCTGAGAAATCATACTTTAATTTTTCATTTAAGTTTAAAAATCAACAAAGAAAATGGTTTACTTCTGTTCTTGGAGACTCACAACTTCAGCTTCTTTCCACAAACTGTCCCTATGTATTCCAAGATTTAGTCAGATCCAACAGCTGACATAAAAATTGGAAATACCTGTATCACCCTGACTTCTCTGATGCCCAGTGGCACCTGCTGCAGCATGAGAGCGATGCAAGAATCTAGGATAAATGTTTCCAGACTGATAGACTTTTTCCTCCTCGAGTCTCAAAAACTAAGTTAAGAATTTATCAAGTATAGTAAAATCCTATTATAAAGCATATCACTCTATCATAGATTGGGGAAAACTGTTGGTCAAAACATAGCCTCTGTAGGTAGTCACACACACAATCTTTCTATCAGTCTTATCTCTTCTCCTTCTCCATTTTTCTTCCCTCTTCCTCTCCCTCCTCTCCTTCCTAACCTCCCTCCCTCTCCTCTATCCTTATATACTTTGTCTCCCTCTCTCAAAACTCTTATCTCCTTTTCCATTTCCTTCCTTTCATCTTCTCCCTCAGATTCTCTCACATATTTTATGTTTCTTATCTATTCTGTCTCTCATCCTTTTTCTTATTCTTCTCTTTTTACATTTCCTATGCTTTCATCTCTCTCTCTCCCTACCCCTCCCTCTTCAAATCCTCTCACAAATCCTATCTTTCTCATCTATTCTGTATCTTCCCTTATCATCTTCTCTCTTCCCTCTCCCACTTTTCTGTCTCTCACACCACACATACTCACACACTTGTTCTCCACCCCTCCCCCAAGACGGCTTAGAAGCCATGGATTAAAAGGGCTGAACACCCGAAGAACTAAAAACAATTTAGAGAAAGTTCCAACCACTGAAAATGAAGAATGAGTGCTGGCTGAGTGGTTTAATTGGTGGTTAATATTTCTGCATTCTTTATTTATAATCGTGAAACTTAGAACCTTGTCACTTAATGGATTATTTTCCCAAGAGAGTGGGCAGACTTCTGGAAAGAGCACCTGATTTGGATTCAAAATACATCAATTTAAATCACACCTCTGCCATTTATTCTGTGTGTGATTTGGGACAATTTCCTTCAGCTTTCTGGACTTCATTTTGTTCAACTATAAAATGCATGTGCAGTATGTGTGTGGGAGGGGGTGGGCTGAACTGCCTACATGGTTTTTATAAAGTCCTTAGATCCATGAGATCTAAGGTGATATGTATGTTGACCATCAAAGGAACTGCCTTGCTAATTCCAAGAGGCTCATTGCCTCATCTGCAGCAGGCTACTGAATTGTTTTGCGACAGGAAATCTCAAGGTATAACTTGTGCGAATGAGTTGATGATTGTCCTTCTGGAGTCTGATCTTGTCACATTACACTAAAAGTGTCTTGTCCAGTTCTGGGCACCACGTTTTAGGGAAAACATTTAAAGGCTGGAAAATATAAAGAGGAGTGCGACCAGAATTCTAAATAATGAAGAAAAAGAGGAGGAGGAGGAGAAGGAGAGTGGGAAGAGGAAAAGAAGGAAGGAAGGAAGGAAGGAAGGAAGGAAGGAAGGAAGGAAGGAAGGAAGGAAGGAAGGAAGGAAGGAAGGAAGGAAGGAAGGGAAAGAAGAAAAAAAGAAAGGAGGGAAAAAGGAAGGAAGGAAGGAAGGAAGGATAAAAAAGGAGGGAAGAAGGAAAAAAGGAAGGAAGATTTATATAGCACTTTACATATATTATCTCATTTTATCCTCACCACAATCTTGGGGAATTAGATACTATTGTTATTCCCATTTTACAGATGAGGAAACTGATAGAGAGGTTAAATGACTCATTCAGGGTCACAGAGACAGTAAATATCTGAGGTCCTCTTCAACCTCAACTCTTTATGACTCCATGTCTTAGCCCTTTATCCACTGTATCATCTAACTGCCTAAAGAGCCTTGAATTCATGCCATCTGAGGAAGAATGATGAAATTGGCCCTATTTAGTCTGTAGAAGAGAGGACTAGGGGTGGGGGTTAGGGAGGACTAATAGTTTACTTTTGATGTTTGAAGGATGGTGCTCATGGGGAAGAGGGATTCACCTTGTTCTTTCAGACAGAGCTAAAAGCAGTAGAAGATGGCAAAATCACATCTTCATGTAAAGACAAACTTCAAAATCAAAGTTTTCTCCCTTTCTGGACTGGGCTACCTCTGGAAGTGGCAGGTTCCCCATTCAATGCAGGTCTTTCAGCAAAGTCTATGTGACCACTTAATCATTGGCTATGTTATAGAATACACTCATGTTCAGGTATAGGTTGGACGAGCTAGATACTCACGTCCTTTTCAGTTCTGAGATTCTGTGATTCAAATGTTATACATGAAGTCAGAGGAATCACAGACTGCACTGGTATAAGGAATACTCATTCCAATGGAAATGGGGACCTTTGAAGTCATGCAGAAATACTTGTCATTATTTATATGGAGAAACAGGCTGGCTTAACAGCGCTACCCAAAACCTTTTTAGGGCCATTCAGAATTAACTGATGAACTGATAGTAATTATTATCATCATATGATGATGATAAGTATAATAATAGCTAGAATTGAGGTTTTCAAAACACTGTACATATGTTAATAAATTTGATCCTACCTACGTTTTGATAGAGGGCTATTGATATTATAAATGCCACATTTGCTTCTTTCCTTAAGGTTCTGAAATTTCTGTAGCCTTTGGTCCACAGAGATGAGTTTCAAGAGTTTACAGTATCTGTGCCAGTCCCATTGGAGATGACCTCAATGTTAAATCGTTCTTGGGCTTCTACTTTTCTGGGTACTGTCATGTTGCTTTTTTCTCCACCAAATTTTTCATGTCTTCCTCTCCACAGGGAATGGGCACCCAGTGTGTTGCTGAAGTCTACTTGGGTTACTCTGTTGTTATGCTAATAACACTCTTTTCTTTGTTTCCTCTAAGGGATTGAAATGGAAATTGTCAATAGCTGTGAGCAGAACAATGGGGGCTGCTCTCATCACTGTGAGCACTCAACTGGTGGGCCTCGTTGTTCTTGTAACCATGGACACCGTCTTGATGTGGATGGAAAAACATGCAAAGGTAATCTATGGCAAACACTATCTTCATTTTGAAGTTGCTCTGAATTCATTTGCCCTTTCCATCCCTTATTACAAACCACTTTACCATGCCCTGCATCATTCCAGCTTCAAAGGTGAGTGGATTGAATAAAAGCTCTGGCTACTGGTTGAATGCGTTAGAAAGTCAACCTGCTCAGAAGGAGGTTTAATTGATGGTCAAATTCTTAACTTGGAGGGAATTTGTTTTTATAAAGTGAACGAATCCATCCTAGGCACATGGAATCAAACAGTTCCAGAAGGTCAAACAAATCAATATCATGTGTGAGCCACATACCAAAGAAATTGCAAGACCTGGGTTCTAGGCTTAGCTTCATTGTTAATGAGTTCTATGACCTTGGGCAGCTCATGTCAGCTCTCAGAGCCCCAGTTTCCTTAGAAGTAAGACGGGGGGCTGAGCTAGATGTTGTCTAAGGCTCCTTCCATCTCTCACATGTTCAACCACTCCTTGACACTAATATATCAGATAATAGGGACTCAGCTAAGCATGGTTCCTCAGCTTGTTAATGGCCTGCTATAGACTTTCAGCTTTGCTATGGAGGACAGCTGTGCTCCAAAAGGACATTTATAGAAGTATTCTTCTCAGCTCTCTCCCTCTCCCCGTATGTCAGTATTGCTTTCAATAGGAAAGACTCCTCAAGTATTACCAGAAATGATGTAATTTGAGACAACTCAAGGACAGCTGACATGAGGAAAGGAAATTCCACTGTAAGCATGCTTCAGGGATGAAATATGCAATCTAGTGCTACTGAGAGGTACAGATTTCTACTGTATATGGGAAATGATAAAGCTGATGAACCAGGTTAGTCTCAGCTCCAGTCCCACCTAGGAAAGAATGTCCATAACCCTAAAAACAATCCTTAATCACAGTATCATCAGATTTTATTCTTACTGGCTTAGTATCATGATGCCCTGCCTCCTATTTCTACCATTACCACTCATTATGCAGTGATTTTAGACATGTCTGACTCTTTGTGACCCCATTTGGGGTTCTCTTGGCAGAGATATTAAATGTTTTGCCATTTCCTTCTCCCAGCTTATTTTACAGATGGGGAAACTGAAGCAAACAAGGTTAAGTGACTTGCCATGGTCCCACAGCTAGTAAGTGTCTGAGGCCACGTTTGAACTCAGGAAGATGAGTGTTCCTGACTTTAGGCCAGGCACCACTCTATCCACTGTGCTACCTAGCTGCTCCCAACTGTTACCACTACCCACACACAAAATTTGAAAGTACCACATGACATTTTTTATACCTAATGTTAATTGAATTGGAAACAAAATTTATTTTGAATGTTTCTTTTTAAACATCATAACTACTATTTGATAAATTTGGAAACAACTAAGTTATGGTTGATAATCACTTCTCTGAAGTGGAAGATTTGTGCTTTTAGCATTTGGATGAAATTTTATTCTATGTGAGGGAGTCTTGCTTTACACTGGTTTCAGAAATTTTCTGATCGTGAAAGTGATGCTGTGTAATACTCCTACATTGTAGGTGGTATTGTAGTATATCAAACAGTTCAGTGGTGGGGGTTTTCCCTCTAAACTGATTGCTCTTCTGGCTTCCTTTCCATGTAAATCACACAATGTTTTAAAGCTTTACCTGTCCCATTGGGAAGTCCATCAATATATACGGAGCTTGTAGCCAGTAGAGCACTTGGTTCATAATCAGAACTCTCATGTTCAAACCCATCTCTGTCTCTCACTGTCTATGAGACTTTGGGCAGTAAGCCTAACATTCGTGAGCCTCAGTTTCTTCACATATAAAACGGGGATAGTAAAGCAGCTAAATGGTACAGCGGATAGAGTCTACAATAAGAAAGATCTAGACAAGTAACTTATCCGATCTTGGCTTCATTTTCCTCGGGGAGATTGGACTTAGTGGTCTGTATCATTCCCTTCAGCTCTAAATCAATCATCCTATGACCCTCTACCTGCCTTGCCTACCTGAGAGAATTACTGTTAAAATTGAGTACAGTAATGAATTTCAAGCACAGCAACCCATCTATGTTTTCTAAGGGCCTTGCATTTTCATTGTATGTATGTATATATGTAGATGTCTCTGGTGCCCCCAATAGCATATCATCTCTTTGAGAACAGGAACTATTAAATTTTTGTCGCATACCTCCGGAGCCAACCACAGTGCCTGGCATGCAGTTAGTGCCTAATAAATGCTTGTCGGTTGATTGGCTGATTGACAGCGGTGAGATGTAACAAGTTGTCTTGAAGCACACTGAGATTAAATTATTTACCCACTAGCAAATAGTAGAACTAGCAAATAGAAGAACCAGAATTTGAATCCAGGTGCATCTACCTCCCAAGTTAAGCACCCTACCCACCACACATTTAGAAGCGCATAATTTACAGGTATTATTATATTACATAATATTACAGTTATAATAATAACACATATATTATTAAACGTGTAGATTTTCCTTTCTGTTTTGTTCTCCCTTTGCTATTAGTCACACTAGACTTGACCTCGGTGAAGCTGATTCTTTAAAACCTTCTACTTGGCTTAGAGTCTCACTGAACTTTGAAAAGTACAGTTCAGGAAAGCTCTTGTTTGCTGCTAGGAAAACGAGCATCTGCCAGGGTCAAAATGCAGAAATTGCATATTTATGTGATTTCAACAGTCAACACAACTACGTTGTATTGTTTATTACTCAAATTTATTTCATTTTCCGAGGATAAATACCACCCATATCCAAAGCCCAAACATTCATTAAAGTAAATGCAATGATTAGTTTGAAGTGTACACACTTCGCTTATTTGTCTGAAAATAGGTTAAGACCACAGATGTTTTCTGCAAATGCTCATGCAGAAAGTAATATTAAGAATTTTCCTTTTAGCCTCTTTCTGTATTAAATGCTTTTGAAGTGTTTGTCTATAGGTAATCGTACATGGCAAACAATACATAAATAGGTGTGAAAATAAGCCAGCAGATCTGCAAACGGCCAGGGCAGTCTTAGCCAATTGCCAGACCAATTAAGGTCATTTAGAATCAATTGAAATATAGTTACAAAGGGGGGAAAGGGGAGAGCTAACAGTAATTCAAACAGCAAGTTTCTACTGACCTTTGACAAACAATACATTAATGACTCTTTAGATTACAGGGGTTCCTAATCTGGAGTCCATGAACTGTTTAAAATATATTTTGATAACCATATTTCAATATAATTGGCTTCCTTTGCAATGAATTTTATTTTTACATTTAGAAATATTATTCTGAAAAGGAGTCCAGAGGTTTCACCAGATTGCCAAAAGGGTCCATGACTAAAAGAGTCCAAGAACCCATGCTTTCCAAGATATTTATGAGACACTAATATTAGATCTTTGCCTAACAAGTTGGAATTATACTAAAAAAGTCACAGCGTTTGACCCAGATATCTCACTGCCATGCAGATAATCCAAAGAAGCCCATGGCAAAAAAAAAAAGGTTCCATATAAACCAAAATATTTAACAATAAGCCCTTTTGTAGAAGCAAAGAACCAGAGAAAAGTAGAGCCCCATCGATTGGGGGATGGCTAAAAAAAAGACACAACAATATATGGAATATTGATGTGTTTATTATGATGAATAAAATATGATGAATACTGAGAAGGGTCATGTGAAGTGATACAAGGTAAAGTAATCATAAATGGGGAAACATGAATATAGCATTTTAACTTTTGCAAAGCTCTTCAAATTCGTTTTGTTTTTTCTAATTTGATCCTTGGAATAATTCTGTGAGCTAAGCACTTATTATTACCACCCTTATTTTACAATAGAGGAAACTGAGGCTGGTAGAGTTTCAGTGACTTGCCCAGAGTCACACGACTCATGAGTACCTGTGTCAGGATTTGAACTCAGGCTTTCCTGATTCTAAGATCCTGCAGTTCTCTGGCCAACTGCGTCATTTAACTTCCACAAAGATCTGAATAATGGAAGCACAATAGACCAAGAACAACATAAGTACACTCTGAAGTGGATGCTGCGAAACTGTAGTGAACAAGTTTGGCCCCGAAGAAGGCAGGCATGTGCTTCCTTCCCTCCCTTCTGTGCAGTGGCTGTGTGCCATGAGTGTGGTGCCTCGCACAGATTATTGGATGTGATTGCTGTATTGGTGGACATTCTTTTGCTTTTTCTTTGTGTTGTTACTATGAAGCAGGCTTTCTAAATGGGGAAGGGGAAAAGGATAAATTGGGAAATATAGGAAATATAAAAACAAAATAATTCAACCAAGACTTTTAAGCACCTATTGTATACTTGGAAAAGTGCCTGACACCCACCAAGTGCTTCATAAATGTTCTATCTCTCTATCAATCTGCCATGGAATGGGCTAGACACTATGAATACAATATCCAAAAGGAAGCAATCACAGCTCTAGGGCATTTTACCTTCAGAGACACAGACATATATGAGTAAATAGAGCATAACTCTAAAATAAATACTTCCCTGAATAGGGAAGGAGCACACTACGTGTTGGGATGATCTGGAAAGCCATCATGTAAAAGGGAGTGCTTAAGTTGCTCTGCTTCATGAAAGTAGAGTTGGAGGCAAGAAGGAAATGTATCTCAAGCATGAAGTATGAGGCACAGAGACAGGAGATAGCAACTGATGTACGAGAAACATCATGTTGTCGGTTTGGCAGAGTGTGGAGAATGTGGGAAGAGAAATACTTTATGATAAGTCTGGAAAGATAACTTGGAGCTAAGCGGAAAGGGCTTTGAAAGTCAAGGAGGAGGCTGTATAAAATTATGGAGAGGAGGGAGCCCCTGATCAGAGTTGGGCTTAAGGAAAATCACTGTGGTAGCAGTGTGGAGGATAGACTAGAGGCAAAGAGAATTGAGTCAGGGACATCATTTAGGATGTCATTAAAATAGTTCAGGTGAGAGGTGATGAGGGCGTGAAATAGTGTATGGCCGTGAGAAAGTGGACAGAAACAGAATGACAAAACAGATTGGGTGAAGCGAAGAATGGCAAGATTTGGCAACCGATTGGCTCTGTGGGGGGGAAGTGGAGGGAGGATTTAAGTATATCACTAAGGTTCCAAGTCTAGGAGGCTGGAAACTTTGGCAGAAGGTAATAATGATGTTTTGGACATGTTGACAAAATTGAGCTTTGTGATGAGTCAGAATTGGATCCATGAAGATCAGATCAAGTACATTATTTTCTAATTTGATGAAGGAACTGATCTCCTTTGTGCACCTCAGAAGGGAGAAACCTTCATCATAAATGTGTGCTGATCTGAGGGTAATTAAGAAGATGGCAAAGAAAACATCTCAATGCTCAAGTGGGTAATAAAAGAGGATATAATGGGGTTGGAGCTGAAATAGGAAAAAAAATGATGAGAAGTTTTTGCTTGTCCCCCAACAGCCCATCGAGATTAAATACGAGCAAGGAAATAGATCACATCTAAAATATTGCAAGGTAGCCCCACTGGTGACATTTGAAGGAGAAAGAACATTTTGTGTCCAAATGACCCACATTAATCAATTTCATGGTGACCCCTAACCTGGATTGATTGATTTCATTTTCTTCCTCTGCTTTCTCTTCCTGAGTTTTCTAATGTCGGTACCCTTTCCAAGGTTAATTGCGAGAGTGACCTTTTACATCTGTGGTTGTTCATCTAGTTAACATTCAAAGAGATTTTGTAAACTCAGCACTGACAGTCCGCTCCCAACCTAATAGCTCAACGGGGTCCTAAGTAGCCAAGGACTTGGATCCGGACACCCTGGTCACAAGCAAACATTTCTCCAATCTCAGGGGAGCTGGGAGTAAGATGACTGTAGTGCATTCTTGGAAATTACCCATGCTCCTCTCATCACTGTCTCAAAAGCCTGACATGAACAAAGCACCCCTTGAATAAAGGCTTTACTTTTTGGTGCTTGTAGGCTGGGATAATGGGAAAAGCAGAGGCTAAGTCAGGAGAATTTGGTTCAAATCTTGGCTCTGTGGCTCATCTTGTGAAACAGCCATTTCCTTGTGGGTAATATGAGATGGAATAAGCTCGGTAACCAGGTTTGTCTTCAATTTCTTCTTTCCCTAAACCTGCTAGGGAAATTATTCATAGCCAAATAAACAACAACAAACACAAAAAACCCAATCAAACAAAAAAACCCCTTTCAAATCCTTGGATCTGACTTAAGATGCTATCTCAAAAATACCCTCTACAATATCTATACAAATGGCCATCCAATCTTAACTTAATGACCAATGATGGAAACTTCACTGCCTCCTGAGGGAGCCCGTTTCAATTTTGGACAATGCTAATTGTTAGGAATTTTTTTCTCTTACTTAAAGGTCAACCTTTTGAATTTAGGATTATAGGAATTTAGATTTAGAGCTAAAAAGGACCTTACAAATCTTCAAGTCTGACCTTCTTCATTTTACAGATAAGGAAACTGAGGCCCAGAGGGGCTAAATCACTTGTCCAGGATCACTAGTAAGCACCAGAGGGAAGATTTGAACCCAGATTTTGTCAGATTCTAAGTTAAACTTTTTAATTTCTTCATTATGCTGCCACCCACTGATTCTAGTTCTGCCCTTCAAGGCCAGGCAGAAGCATCACTCATATCTCTTCTGCATGGCAGCCCTTCAGTTGTTTGAATATAGTCATGAACCAGCCCCTAAGTTTTTTCTTTTCTTGTGCAGACAAAAAATCTCCACCTTTTCACCCATAGCTAAGGCGGTATGAATTTTAGACTCTTCGTCTTCCTGATCACTCTTTTCTTGGTACTCTCCAGCTTTTGAATGTCTTTATAAAAATATATTGCCTGCAGATGAGCACTATTCCTTATGCGTTCTGACCAGGACAGAGGACAGTGGGACGGTGACCTTTTCATCACTGAAAGCTATCCCTCTCCTAATGCAGTCTAAGAATCACCTAAGATTTCTTTGCTGCCGCATCACACTGTTGACTCAAATTAAATTTGCCATCCCTGAAAATCCTCAGATCTTTTTTTTTTCTCCCAGACAATCTGCTGTCTACTCATGCCTCCCTCTTATTGCACTTAAGAAGGTGACTTTTTAACCCATATAAGATTATATTTATCCCTATTAAGGTTCCTTTTAATTAGATTCAGCCCAGTGTTCTAGTCTCTACTGATCTTTTATAATTCTGGCTTTGCCATCAAGCTATTGTATTACTATTGCACCCAGCTTGGTGCCACAGGCAAATCTGGTATATATGCTCTGGCATCCAAGTTATTGATAAAAATACCAAATAGCACAGAGCCCCAGGGCATCCACTGGAGAACTCCTTCCATTGGCATTTGTCTGCCCAAAGACTTGACAATCACATTAAGATGTTTACCTCAGCAGAAAGACAAAGAGCCGTGCAATATGTCTTAGGGGGCTAAGAGAACCCCACAGCAGCCTGAGCCCTGGGGTTCTAGATACATGATCAAATCAAACCCTGGATTGGTTGGGTCACATGATGACGTTAACTGGCCAAACAAAAGAAACATACAAACAAGGGCAGGTCTTGTTCCACTTCTTTTACCTAGGTTCCTATATACTCCCTGCACAAATCCCTTTAATAAAAAACAAACACTTAGCATTGGGCTTTGCATGCAGTAGAAACTTAACAAAGGTGTTTGTTGCTAAATTGAATTGAATTGTCATCTGTTAATACAAGTCCCAGAGGCAGGGGGATTGAGCTGCATGAAAATTATATATGGCTCCTATAAGTACCTTACATGGGAGTTGAGATAAAGACTACACTTGTGATTTCATTAATACGGAGCAATATTCCTTCTACCAAGTAGGTCTGAAACTTCCAGACTGAGTACTGCCTCAGACAATGAGGGGTTAAGTCATTTGCTCAGAGTCACACAACAAATATGTACCAAAGGTAGGATTCGAACCCAGGCCATCACAGCTTTGAGCTCAGCCTTCTATCTACTAAGCCACACTATCTGATATAAGCAACAAATGAACCATGTTTACTGAGAGGAAATCGGACTAACGAAAGATCTGGATCTCTTGTTCTTGGGACCCAATTGCTGCTCTCTCCTTCCTTGGGGCCACCAGCTCTTTCAGCCCTTGGGGTCCACTAGTCCTAACACCAATTCTGTTAGGACTGTTATGAGTACCTAAAATGTCAGCAGGAAGATCATCAGATCTGGATTCCCCTGATGTGGGTTCAAACCCCAGCTCTGCCTCTTCTGAGGAAAGGCAGCATGGTGACATAGAAATAGCAGCCGACTGAGAGTCAGAGGACTCAAGTTGGAATCAAGGCTCTATCGCGGGCTAATTGCATGACTTGGTACTCTCTGTGCCTCAGTTTCCTCATCCAAAAATGAAAGATTTGGAATAGATGATCTCTAAGCTCCCTTCTAGCTCTGAATCAATGATGCTGTCAACCCAGCAGCTTTGGAGCCCAAAGACCTGGGTTCCAATCTATCCCTGACACTTACTACCTATGTGACCTTTTACACATTATTCACCCCCAAAGGCCTCTGTCTCCTTACCCTTAAGATGAAAGTGCTTGACTAGAAAGCTTCCAGAATCCCTTCCAGTTCAGGACCTTTGATCCTAGGACCCAATAGCATGACAAGCTCTGCTTTCCAGCTGCCAAATGCTCCTGGAATCCTATCATCGCTGTTTTGTATTTTTTTTCACTATTTGTTTTTAGAATGGGGTGTGTGGTGTGTGTGTGTGTGTGTGTGTGTGTGTGTGTGTGTGTGAGAGAGAGAGAGAGAGAGAGAGAGAGAGAGAGAGAGAGAGAGATGTCAGGTTGTCCCATCAGCTAGAGGGCAGAAAGGCCTCTTTTCTTCTGTTTAAAAATGAGCGTGAAATTATTTAAATCTCAAACAAATAAGTCCAAGGTATGGGAGTAGTCTGAGCCATGTAGGCTCAGACAGGGGTCTTTTCCTCTGATGGGAGTATCCATACAATCTGAACATCAGAAAGATTGAAATTATTTTGCAACGATTCCATCTAATGAAAGGGCCCTGCTGCCCATCATTCTACAATTTATTTTGGTAATTATCTGATAAACAACAGAAATGCCCCCCCCCTTTTTTCCTTTTCAGATCTTGATGAGTGTGAGAGTGGGCAAGCCTGCTGTTCCCAGTTCTGCATCAACTATTTGGGAGGTTACGAATGTGACTGCAAGACAGGATTTCAGCTCAGTCCTGATGGTTGTGGGTGTGACGGTAAATACCTGAGATTTGTCTCCAAGCAATTGTCTCAAAGCGGGTGTAGTGCCCATAAGCAACAGTGGGTGTGTGGAGAGAGAAAGAGATATATTTTGCTCAGTAACCCATAATCTCTTTCACTTGACTTGATGAAAGGAACGTTGGCAAAACAGAGGCAAAGAAGTGTGGTTGATGTGGTGCAAGAGGTCACAACTTAGAGAAATCACCAGCATGAGCCGGACTGACGAGTGGATATCTGGCTTCAGAAGTGGTCTGTATATTATCAATATAATCTTCAGTTATTCAAAAGTTACATTTCCATATAGAATGCCAGAGGTGAGGAGGAACCATGGCAACAGAGACCCAGGGTTGGACAGTGGTTAGAGTCAAGTCAGGAGCACCCAGATGTAAATTCTTTGGCTAATACTAGCTTTCTGAGCCTGCGCTTCCTCATCTAGGAAATGGTATAAAAATACTAATTGTAAGGATCTCACAAGGTGGTTGTTGTTGTTTTTTTCTGAGCCTTAAAAACAATACTGTTAAGTGCCTTGAAAACTTTAGAGAGCTGTGTAAATGACAGTGATTCCGATGGTAGAAAGAGCACTGAATTTGGTAGAGAAGAAAAGCTGAATTGAAATGTTTATCCTGACCCTCAAAGCCCATGTGGTGTTGAGGAAATCACTTAATCCTTCCTGTCCTCAATTTCCTCATCTGTAAAATGGGCGTAATAATATCTGGACCACCTATATCCCTGGGCTATTGCAAGATAAAAGACGTCACATAAACTATGCAAAGATTTAAAAACTGTGAGCCGCTATTATTATGGCCCATTACACAAGCCTGGCACATTGCTTCACATTGACTCACTCATACCCCACCCTCTTCCTTTTTTGTCATATACCATATTTAAATGACTAATGCTTTTTAAAGAAATGCTGGTTTTATAGCTTTCTAATGTCTATTTGGTAAAAAATAACTCATTTTACTCTCATATGATATCTACATTGCATCCGAAGAGAACATTTTAGATGAGTTTGAATGAATAGAGCAAAGTTAATTGAGTTGTCTTTAATTTCACTACCAATACCTCATGTAAGTCATTGTTGGGGGATTGTTGTTGTCTTTTTAATTTGTGAAAGCTTGCATTAAAGGAGATGGTGTTTTTCATCTTTTGGTTATTATTGCTATTATTTTGAATCATAAAAGTTTTCTTGAAATTGAAATAATGATTAGATGATCTACATCTGTACCAATAACAATTAAAATTATATAAAAGCCCCAAATGCAGCAGAGAAAATAGCTTTTCTTTATTGGGTGTAATGAATTCCTAAATTCTCTTGGTACTGAGATGCTTTGCTTTATATAACTGAGCTGTCCAGTCTCCAAACACCAAAAAAAAAAAAAAAAGGCAAGGGATATAAAAGAACACACTTTTTGTTTTGAAAGGCGCACATTCTAAATGTGGCGCTGCATATTAGCATTGACCAAATTCCAACCAAACATTGGGTCCAGTGAATTAGGGGCTTAAAAATCTGAATTTCATGGACCATCTGTTCATCAGGCAGATGAGCCAAAGGGAAGATTGCATAGCCATGCGTGTACACACTGGTGTATATATACCATAATTGGGAATGCTTCAGCTCTCTGAGGACCGTCTTAAAGGATTAGCCTCATGTCTCCATCTAAGCTACTCCTCGCATAGGTGACAGACTTCCCCAAAGTCTCAGCTCTGACTTTTATACTGATTTTCATTACTCACATTAAAAGAATTTAAATCTGCCAGGGAATCTTTGGTTATCTTACTCATAAGCTCCTTAAAGGCATGTGCCAATCAGGTTTGTGATTTCAAGGAATCTAGACAAAACTTCAAATCAAATTAATCAATCACGATGTTTACTAAATGACAAGCTCGTTTGTATAGGAAGGCTACAAGAAGACATTGGCACCCTTGATGTATCTCCTCGCTAATTTCAGAATCCTTGTTTTGGTCTGACCTAGAGGAATGAGGCTGCCCATATAACAGAGAAAAGTTCTATCTGGAGAATAATAGCCAGACCCATAGAGAGCCCATAGATCTTAGGGACTGAATGGTTTTATACTACGACAGACAAAGGGAGCCAGTCTTAAAAGCAACATCGCAGGTACTTTTGAGTACACTGGTCACAGGAGCTGAGATGATTCCTTTAGAGTCAGGCACTCTCCCAATGGCTATTCATCAGTTACCCTTAGCTATTTCTGTCTCGATGCTCTCCTGCCGAAAGGGACCAGGATCAACAGGCTTGCATCACAGCAGGATCAGGTCATTTATTTCTTTTGAATCTCTCTTGGTTCCTTAATGAATGAATGATTTGTGGGGCAATAATCTGGACCTGTGATTTCATTTGTGTGGGAGGAAACTGCTGGTGTGCAAACACTTTCCACCATTGTTGATTGGCTTCTCCTATCTCATTTCTAGTCTTAGAGAGGGAGGGCAATCAGAAGATTCAGTCGTTTGCCAGTAGTCACAAAGCTAGTTAGCAGATATCAGAGAAAGGACTGAAATCCAGATCTTAATGACTTCAAGGCAGCCCTCCAAATTAAAAAAAAAAACAACTAATGAAATCAAGCTGCAACTTAAAGCACTATGTCCTGCAAAGCTTAACCTAATTAACTATTCAATTTTATGTTCTGCAAAGTGTTTCACAGACTGGAACTTCTTTTCTTGCTAGAATACATTTTATAAACCTTCATCAAAGCTAGCGGTTAGTTCTGAGATCCCAGGAAGTTTGTCTCCCCGTGAGAACAATGAATTTGCCAAGTTGCTAAAGGTAGATTTAGCAGTCTGCGCCAAAGAAAGGTGATCTGGTCTGGGGACTTATCTTAGCTTTACCTCGTGTCAGAGAACCATCTGTAAGGCAGAACAATGAACACCACCGTGCCTTTCAATCCCTAAGCTCGGTTTCCTGTGTCAACGCCCAAGAGGATACTTTCTGTTCTCTCTTTTTCTTAGATGTGGATGAGTGTCTGGAGGACAGCACTGACTGTGACCAGCTCTGTGTTAATTCTTTGGGATCTTATGAATGTCTCTGTGAGGAAGGTTACCAAATTGATGGTAACAGAAAAACTTGCATCCGTAAGTTCCTATGAGGGAATTTCCGTTTTTTTAAAAAATCACATTTCAACTATTTAGAATTTTTTTCTCCTTTCCGGGGCCCAGGGGAAGAATGCAATTTCCTTTCCTCAGTCCATCTTCAAACCTCTCTTTTTTCTGCACTAAAACTATTTTTTTCTCTCTTTGTCCTCTTTCTATAGCAGTTTTACCTTTGTGTGCACAGCTTCTAACCTTTCTTTGTGATTGTCTATTTGAATTGGCTTTGCTCAAAGAATTTTCCCTTTTCACTACCCCCTGCTTGTGTGTATAGTTCAGACTCCTCATTTCTCTCATCCATTCTTGCCCAGTTCTACACACATAGACCCATGCCCACCCCTACCCCCCATCTGCCTCGCCTCATCCCTACCAAGGATGTGAATGTGCAGTGTTTTCCTCTTTGGTTTTAGCTTTGGATGATGACGAATTAGAGGAGGAAGAAGAGGAATTAGAAGTTGTGAGGTTCCCAGACCTTCACTTCAGGAAATCTGCTCAACTGTTTAATTATGCTGTTGCCCTAAATCCCAATTATGAAGATGAAGATGAACTGGAGGAAAGAGATATTAGAGGAGAACTCACAGTTTTACACAAAGTGGGTGAGTGAAAAGAACCCACTCAAGGTCATTATTTTCTTTCTTTTTTCGAAATTCATTTAAGATCAATGGGCAAGATGGCCAGAGTAGTAGGTTTCCTTAATCCTCCATAAACACTTAAAACTCTAAAAAATAAATTATGTGCCACAAATAAAGGAACTAAAGCTGGATCCACAAGATAAGAAAAAAATACACAACATTAAAGAAAGACATGAAATAATATCAGTCGGTCAACAAGCTATGAGTGCTTACTATGTGCTAGGCATTGGGCTAAAGGATGGGGATACAAAGAAAGGCAAAAGACAGTCCCTGCTCTCCAGGAGCTCACAGTCTAATATCAGATAATTGAAATACTTAGAGCTCCCACTCATCATCTCCTTCTCCCCCAAACCCTACACGACTCTATACACACATGTACACACACACATATACAGACACATACACATATATATGTATGTATGTGTGAATGCATATGATATGTGTGTATACACATGTACTTACATACATATCTGGGTATACATACATATATTTGATGGGATTGTTCAGGTTTTTCAGTCATGTCTGACTCTTCATGACCCCATTTGGGATTTTCTTGGCAAAGATACTGGAGGAGTTTGCCATTTCCTTCTCCAGCTCATTTTACAAATGAGAAACTGAGGCAAACAGGGTGAAGTGACTTGCCCAGAGTCACACAACTAGTAAGTGTCTGAGGCCAGATTTGAACTCAGGAAGATGAGTCTTCCTGACTTGAGGCCTGGCACTTTATCCATTGTGTCACCTAGCTGTGTGTATATGTGTATGTATGTATGCATGTATGTAGATAAGCCTTTCCTAAATTACCCATATCAATCACTCTTGTACAATGCCATTTTCTTTAAAAGTCTTGAATATAATCTAGAGTTTCAGAAGCACTTCCTCTTCTATAATAAACCTTTGAGGTTAATCGATGATCTAGAATCAGAGGAGGAGCCGGATCCATTAGAACGTAAGCTCCTTGAAGGCAGGGATTGTATGTTGCATCTCTTTGTATCCCTGGAGCTTGGCACAGTGCCTGGGCACATAATAAGAGTCTAATAGATGCTTGTTGGTTGACAGAGAGAGAGAGATTTTGGCTTCACCTACATGAAAAGGGATATTTCAATGGAATGTAACTCCTGGAGAGGAGGGGAGGTTTTCTTTTGGACTTTGCCTTTCTACTGGACAGCATAGTTCCTAGCTTAGGGTAGACGTCTTAAAATACTTGTTGGTTGTTTCATTAATTTTTTAGCTATTTGGGGAGTAGACTCATGAGCTTACTAATCTGATTTTTATCCTTCTAGTCTGTTTAGATGACACTTTTGGACCCGATTGCAGTTTGAGGTGTGAGGACTGTATGAACAGAGGCAAATGTAATGAGGAAAAGAGCCGTTGTCTCTGCCCGGCTGGCTGGATTGGCATCCTGTGTAATGAAAGTGAGTACACAACACCCACTCAGAGTGAGGGGGCAGGGGGCCATCGCCAAGTGCATGAGAGATGCTGTGTTTGGGACTACAGATACAAAGATGAAAAGTGAAATTGTCCTTCCATTCAAAGACCTTGGAATAAGTTCAAGTTCTGGAGTCAGGCAACGTTGATTTGGATCCTGGCTGTGACATCTAGTACCTGTGTAACTTGGGCTGGTCACTTAATATCTTGGAGTCTTAGTTTCCCTATCTGTAAGATGAGATGGTTGGAGGAGAGAGATGACCTCTCAATCTCCTTCAGCTCTCTGTTTGTGATCTTATGAATTTACCAGAGAGATGAGCAATAAAAACATAGATCGAAGTTTTAACCAAATAGCAGAAAAATGGGTTCTTGTCATGATTTGTTTGTTTTTCCATTTATTAGCAAACGATAGCAAATTAAGTCATTGTTTTCTTCAAGTGTCCTATTTATTCATCAGCTATAAAAGCTAATAAAGGATCCCTGTATTTCAGAGGCTTTAAAAAATCATACCATTTAAATGATGTTAATTCCTGGCAAGATACTCCTCTTCACAGGGGAAGCAAAACTTTACTCTCCAAATATCATTAAATGGAGTTGGATATTTTATATCTATATATGTACATGTACAGATACACAAACATAAAATAGCACTGTGTTTCTTTCTTAACATAATCTCATCCTGAGAAACTACCCAGGATAAAATAATGCAGACTAAGAAAAACAGAGTAAAAACAACTCTTGTTCTATGAGAATAAATGAAAATGTATTTAAAGAAGTGAAATGTGCCAGCTATTAAATGAGTGTAATAATGGCACCCACCTTCCTGGTGTGTTATGAGCATCAAATGAAAAGACATTTGTAAATGTTGGCATAGTGCCTGGCATATAGTGGGCATTTAATAAATGCTCATCCCTCCCTGCTCCTCAACAGATGTGAGCAATGAAATGTAAAAGATATATTTTACTCTTTTGTTTAAAGAGCTATTTATTCATTTTGAGCTACAAATTACAGAATATACAAATTATTACAATACAGATTAGCAATGCTTAGTTTTAGCCCCCAGATGTCAGGACAGAGGGTAGATTTCCCACCCCAAATTTTAAATGTAGAAAAACTACTAGAGGCACTGTAGTATGAAGGAAGGAAGCAAACAATTTTTTATCAAGCACCTAAATTGTGCCAGGCACTGTGCTATATAAATAGAATTCTGCAATATAGGCTCCATTATTATCTCATTTTAAAGATAAGGTAACTGATTATGACTTCTTAAACACTTATTAAACTGTGATTAAGTGGCTTACTCAGGGTCATACAGTTAGTAAGAATGTGAGGCTGAGTTTGAACTCAGGACATCCTGACTCCAGGTCCAGTATTTTGTCCGTTGGTTAATGAAGAGCCAGCCCCGGAATCAGGAAGACCTGGATTCAAGTTGTGTCCCTGACAGAATTAGACCATGTGACCCTAGGCATGTCACCTTTTATCTCAGTCTGTGAGTTACAAATTGTAACCCTTTAGCTAAGCAGCAAACAGGACATGTTCTGGCTAAGGGAACATGGGTGTGCATATGCACCAATTTTTGTATATGTTGTCTGCCCAATTAGATTGTGAGCTCCTTGAGGCTGCCAACTGTTTTTGCCTTGCTTTTGTGTCCTCTCAACATAGCACAGTTTCTATCACACAGAAAGCGCTCAATAAATGCTTGATGGTTAGCAACATGAATTTATCTGTAACAATGGAGTGAGTTTTCACACCAGGAGTTTCCTAAGACTAAAATCAAAATTCAAAACCAAACAAACAGTCAAAAACCTGGACAACTGAATAGAGAAATGATTTGCTTAAGCTAAAGCTAATATTGTATTTTTGTATAATCTTCAGTACTCTGATCGCCAAATCTAGAAATCCTGGCTTATATTGATCTATATGAAATTTCTTTAAATGCCATTGTCACGTGGTTATAATGAGTCGATTAGTCAATAGTATTTAATAAACACTTTCTATGTACCAGGAACTGTACTAAGGGCCAGAGATACAAAGAAAAACAAAAAATAGTGCAGGAGCTCAAGAATCTTACATAGCAATGGAGAAGACAACATGAGAATAACTAGGTTAATATGAGACCTACACAAAGTGGCCCAAAGGTAATCTCAGAGGAGAAACCATAATAGCTGGAGGAAATAGGGAAGGCCACCACCAGGAAGACACATGGCATTGGAACTGAATCTTGAAGGAGGCTAGAAAACCTAAGAGGAGGAAGTATTGAGGAAGACAGCCATTTGCAAATACCTGGCCATGAGAGGTAGAATTTTGTGCTCAAGGAACAGCCAGTAGGGCAGTAGAGATGGATCATAGAGTTTGTGGAGGTGAATAAATTGTCAGAAGACTGTAAAAGTAGGAAGGGGCCAGGTTGTGAAAATCTTTAAATGCCATAAACATTGGTATGAAGTTGGGGTGTTCGAAATAATAGCCACCATTTAGGATGATTCTAAATACAATATATAAGGTCAGATACATAATTGAATTTCTGAATTCCATAAAGTGCAGAATAGGAATGAAAACAAAGTATCTTTCTCAGCTCTGTCAGGTTGGAATATTTTGCTCTGTTATTTTTGTGGGCCCTTGGTCTCATTGGCATACTCCTTGGGTGATATAGCCTATGCTGGTGTGAGTAGTAGCCCCTCTGTGATTTCTTTCTTGCTCCCTGGGATTTTTGTCAATATCTTCCCCTAGAAGATCTACTTCTTGCTGACCATCCTCTGGGTCCACTCAGTCTCCAATTGGGGTCATGAAAAAGATTGACATGAAAAACAATGCAGGAATATTGGAAAATAGAGCCTGACACAATAAAGACAACCAGTCCATAGGCTCTCAGCAACCGTGGAAATTCTTCATGTGCTAATATTATCACTTAGGAATGATGTAGGAACATAATATTTCTGGACACCATCTCAGGAAGTAACAAGAAATAAATGTACTTATTAATTCTTTTTAAATATTTTTTCCAACTAATAAGCATTTATTATTTCTTCCTCTTACACTGAAAGAAACAGTGAATAAATCTTATTTTTTAGAGAATATATTCATTATCTCCCTCACCACTTTACATAGGTGGGAGTCTATACAGTCAGAACATCACATATACTACCAGATATAATTGATATACTGTATGATTTTGCTGAACTGTTTTTCCCTCTCTCTCTTCTAATCCTTGTTACTAGGGTTAAATCCATATATAGAAGAGGCAACTAGGTGGCACAGTGGATAGAATGCCAGACCTCGAGTAGGGAAGACCTATCTTCTTGAGTTCAAACCTGGCCTCTGTGTGACTCAAAGCAAAGTCACTTAACCTTGTTTGCCTCATTTTCCTCATCCGTAAAATGAGCTGGAGGAGGAAATGGCAAACCACTCTGGTATTTTGCCAAGAAAACCCCAAATAAGGTCATGAAGAGTCAGATATGACTGAGACTAAAATAGTAACCATGTCTAGAAGGCAAGAGAGAGAGATATTTAAAAGTATAGCTAAGGGAAGAGGATAAGCATTGATTGAGCACCAAATATTTATTGGATTGTTTAGTTGCCAGGCACTATGGTAAGTGCTTTATAAATATCATCTCATTTGGCTTGAGTGTAGATGCTATAAAAACAAAATGTATCAACAGCAATATAATTTTTTAAAAATGTTCAGTAATTGTAGCAATTAAAATGAAGTTTTTTCTGTCAGATTTTAGAAAGCAAGAAATAAAGAAAAGGGATGAATCAGAAATACTTCAGCATGACAAACAATCCCAATTTTCTTCAGAAATTTGGAAAATTTCCAAAGTGCAGCAAGCCTTTGGCGCATTGAAATGTGACTGGATTGAATTTCAAAGTAGCAGACATGTCACTGGGAATGGGACATTTCAGGGATCAATACTTAATAAACACATGAAGCTAAACCTTGTCCAGCAGATAGATTTATGAGCTGGAAAAGGCAGAGAACTTAGATGTAGTCTTATAATGGGTTGAGTGACATTGCACAGCTAGTAAAGTGGGGTGGATGGAAAGAAACTTAGAGATCAATGGGTCCAAACTTCTCACTTTGCAGATGCACAAACTGAGGCTTAGAGATATAAAGTCATTTGGTCAAGTAGTAAATAGAAGATGTGGGATTTGACAGGATAATCACTGATTCCAAATGGACTCCCCTTTCAAACGGATGGGATTACCAGAGCAGAGACTTGAAGGCAGGTGGTTTAAGACAGGTGCTCTGAGTCAGCTATGGGGAGGAGAGAGGAATTCAATTCAACACAGATCTATTAAGCACCCATTTGGTAGAAAGCATCATGAGGTGATAAGGATAGAGATACAAAAGGAAAATAAAAATAGTCCTTGCCCATATGGAGCTTACCTTCTAAGGGAGAGATGCATCATTCATACACATACATAAGTGTAAGATGTGTGTATGTGACTCATACACAGAAATAATCAATTGCAATGTAACAGTTTTAAGTAAGTGAGGAAATAAACTAGACCCTGAATGTCAGTATGGTTGAGTTTGGAATTCTTAATTAGGGCTAGATGAGATTATAGGATCATAGATTTAGAATTGGAAAGGGTTTTAGAGATCATTCATTTCCACCAGCTAAGTGGCACAGTGGATAGAGCAGTGGACATAGAATCAAGAAGACTCATCTTCATGAGTTCAAATCTGGCCCCAGACACTGACTAGCTTGTGTGACAGCTGTGTGACCCTGGGCAAGTCACTTAACCCTCATTGCCTCAGTTTCCTCATCTATAAAATGAGCTGGAAAAGGTAAACCACTCCAGTGTCTCTGCCAAGAAAATACCAAAATGGTGTCACTGACACTGTAACTGAAATGGCTTAAGAACAAACTTCCCACTCTCTCATTTTACTGGCGAAAGAATTGAGGATAAATAAATTGTTCAATGTTGCACAGCTAGTAAGGATCAGAGTTGGCATTTGAATCCAGGATCTGCTGATTCCAGATTCAGCACTACCCATGAAACTGTGCTGTCTTTCTAGATTAGTCTGGGAAGTTTTCACTAAGGATATTGGTCTTGAGCAACATTTTGAAGGATTAACGAGTTGTCTTTTGGGATGTGAGGCTGAAGGAGTGGAGGCATCGGGCATGAAGTAACAAAATGTCTTTGGTATTTTAATGAAACAGCATGATGAAATGGATAAATCATTAGTATGTCTGGGCTACGGATCTGATCCGAACTGTTTTTTTTTTCTTTGGTTTAATAACATGTCTATATTTCAGTGATACTGTGTATTATCTATAAATCTAAAGTGGTAGACTATGAGGTATTTCAGAGGATAATGCAATTTAGCTTCCATGTATTTCATGAATCCCATAGAGTCTATCCATATCAAGATGTCTTCTCTCCCTTTTATTTCCCTAGCTTGACATTTTTTCACTCAAAAACCAGAGTAAAATCTGGCAAGGCCAGGCCCAGATTTGTATCTGTTGGACAATGTGTAGCATGCTTCATCTGCTTATTAAGTATTGACCCATGAAATGTCCCATTCCTAGTTACATGTCAACTGCTTTAAAATTCAGTCCGGTAGTGTTTCAGTGTTCCACAGGTTTGCCATGCTCTAGAAATTTTATGAATTTTTGAAGGGAATTGGGATTATTCGTCATGTTTAAGTATTTCTGTGATTCATCCCTTTTCTTTATCTCTTACTTTCTAAATTCTGATAGAAAAACCCATTTTAATTAAAGATATTTGGGTCCAGAGAAAGAATATTGTCCATTTGGGAAAAGATTAAAGTAGCAGGAAAATGTAATAATTATTATAAATGTTTAGCTCATGGTTGTCTTTCTTCTCCCCCATCTTCTTTTTTTTCCTTCCTTCCTTCCTCCCTCCCTCCCTCCCTCTTTACATTTTACTCTCCCCTTACTTCCTCTACCCTCCTTATTTCCATTCTTGTTTCCCTCCTTCTTTCCCTACTTTCTTTCCTTCCATTATATCTTCTCTCCCTCCCTCCTTTCTTCTTTATCTCCTTCTTTCCTTCTTTTATTCTTCCCTTCCTTATTAAGCAACTATTTAAAAGGGAAGAAAAAATGGAATAGAAATGATCTTCCCATGTTACCATGGGGAACAGGGAATAAAGTAAAAGGTAGAGAATGACACGTCATGTTGTTTCTCAATTTTTTAATGTGGCTTTTTTGGAAAGTGAATATCATTTATTGTGGTTAGTAAAGATTATCCCAGCAGCTGCATTGTTTCAAGTTAAGATGAAAATAAGTTGGGAGGTCTATTTTCAATCTATTTTACACTGGAGTACTAAAAAGCTTCCTCTAAACAGGATTGTTTGCTTAACTTCATCAATCTTTGACAATGCAAAAACATCTCCGAATTCTCAAGAGAGGCTTCATTGTATTGGCTGCTAGTTAAAAATGTTTATTTTTTTACTTTCTTTTCATCTTCTGAGTAGTACAGGTAGTTTATATCTCATTAATGTGGCCCAAAGTTGTACAGCAAAGATCTTAGAATACTTTTGAAAATTTGTGGTTAAAGTTTATCCCAAAAAAGTGAAATTTATATTTGAACCTTATTACCTACTCTTTCAGCTCTCATTTTTCATCCAGTTGGAATGACAAGTCCCCCAGGAATGACAATGTCATCCAATATAGGAACCTAACAGTGACATTTCCCCATTCTACGAGTGGCTTCATTCTTTAATTACCTGGTATCATTGTACCAAGACGACAAGAAAGCATTACTTTCTCCCCTGGTGATACAATGAATGGGCTCTTTTTTCATTCATCTTCTCCATTTCCTTTACAGCTTGTCCCCCAGGGACATATGGACAAGAGTGTAATGGCATCTGTAAGTGTCAGAATGGAGGTTCCTGTGACCCTGTAACAGGCCAGTGTCACTGTCCCCCTGGAGTTCATGGGAAGACCTGTGAGGATGGTACGGGATCCTGTCTTTAACTGCGGATGATTTGTTTGGGCACCTGAATACTCCTGATAACAAACATGTTAATGGATGGCTCACTCAGCATTCTACCACACAGATTTTTACTTGAAATTAGGGCTCTGTACTTATAAAAATCATCTAACCTATTTAAATGACCTGATGGATGATGATGTAATAGAAAGAGTGCTCCAACTGGAGTCAAGAGGACCTAAGCCAGCTCAGACACTTACTGGCTATAAGGCCATGGCAAGTCAAGTCTCCTTTCAGAGTCTCCAGGGGCAGCGTAGCATAATGGATATGTGCTGGAATTACAATCAGGAAAATCTACCTTCAAATCTTGCCTCTAGCCCTTAATAAGTGGTTACTGATTCACTGATCATGGGCCAGCAGCTTAGCTCCTTACAGCCACGCTTCATTCATCTGTAAAAGAGATATGATACAAGAGATCATTGTATCATATCTCTTTTACAGATGAATGAAGTATAGCTCTAAGGAACTATGAAGGAAGATATTAAATGCATCCAGAGAAAGAATTGATAAATAAAAATATGTATAGAATAATTTTACATATATATATGTATATATATATATACATATATATGTATATATATATATATATATGTATGTATGTACATATTTGTGTCTAATGGTAACCATCTCTAGGATGAGGGAGAAGAAAAAAAAGAAAAAAAACAGAAAGTTACATGATAATTTTATTATATATTTAAAAAGAATTGCTAGTTGTACATAATACATTTGCAGTTTCATGTGTAATCATTTTTTTTACTCTACGATGTTATGGAAATGCTTGTTTTAGTTCATAAATTAAAAATAAAATAAATAAAAATTTTTAAAAATCAAATGTACAAAGGTTAGAAGGTAACCCAAAAAAGATATGATAATACTGCAGTACCTAACTTACAGGGTTATGATGCTAAAATTATACACTGGACATAATGTGCTCCTCAAATGCCCACTGTATCATTAAGAGTGATAGACGACTTGTGCCCAACCTGTGGCAGAGCATTCAGAGCTCCTATTGGTCTGACCGACCACAGTCAGACGCACTGTAACTTGACTCTAACATAGTGATGTCATTTTGGTCCTCTCTGAGAACAAAGGACAACCACCATATCATAAATACCCATGTAACCCTGGACAAGTCATCTAGCATCTTGGAGTCACAATTTCATTATCCACTTAAACAGAGGGAGCTAGTACCCACTTACCTGATCTTGTTCTACCATAAGTCCCAGATACCAACAATATCAATTCACTTTAATGCACTCCACTGAATGCCAAAAGAAGAACCAAGGAAATGCTGAGCAACACTCTATGGTTTTTAAAGAGCTTGCTATCTCTGTTCTACAAGCTTGCCCCTTCCTACATAATAGGTGCCATGCGATTAGTCTGGGATATGATATATATGACTTTATCTAATTCATCTCCTGGCCCAGAGCCCCTCCCACACATACACATAGAGACTGGACTCTGCTCTTTATTGTTGCATTTCAGGGGATATTAATCAAATGAACAGGGCATAATGGAGTCAAGCACACAAGTATGGATTGACAAATTAAAGTTCATTTCTCATGATCAATAAACCAACATGAATAAAACCAAATGCATTAAATCATTCACTAATTGTGAATTTCCACATTTCCTCCAAAAGTAGGCATCCCCAAACTAATCTAAGGGATTCAGTAATTTAAGAACCCAGTCATTTAAGAAAAGACATAAGTTCAATGCTCGGGACGCAAATCTTTCAGTCCCATTGTTACAGGGATCCAGCTGTCTAGACTCTCGTGGACCCTCCTCACTACTGATACTACTGATTGTCCCATCATGTTTCTATATCAGTGAGTACAGCGGATGCGTGACCCAAAAAGGCACCACCGATCAAAGGCTCTCAGTTGTATCTAGGAACCAGAGAGAAACACACAGGCACCCTGATGCCATTGTTTCCTGTATTCATTTCTTCCCCAAATTAGCATGCTGGTAAAAGTCTATAATCTCCCATCCATATACGTACCTGTGGACTGATCCTGATCCCCTCATTCTCCAGTTCTTTCCATGTATGAATGGCTAAAATTCTACTGGTGCTCTCATTCTCTGAAGGCATCTATCAAAAATTGGAATTATGACCCTACCCCATAGATTTGTTTTGTTTTGTTTTGTTTTTTGGCTAGGCAATGGGGTTAGGTGACTTGCCCAGGGTCACACCTCCAGTAAGTGTTATGTGTCTGAGGTCACATTTGAACTCAGGTCCTCCTGAATCCATGGCTGGTGCTCTACCCACTGTGCCACCTAGCTGTCCCCTTCATAGATTTGTTTTGAGTAGAGTGCTTTATAAACCTGAAAACATTATGAAGTATGAATGATGATTTTTAGCATTTTAGCATCATTACAATAAATGTCAGGGTATTGAAACATTCAAATGCAGATACCCACTTCAGCCATCTCTATTTTTAAAAAATCCATAATTTTGCACATAGACCAATGCTTTCTTTGTATGTCCTCACTCCATTTAGGATGTCCTAAAGGATTCTTTGGAAAGGATTGCAAAAAGAAATGTATGTGTGCCCACAACAGCTATTGCCACAGGGTGTATGGAGTTTGTCTATGTGATCCAGGACTCTATGGTCGGTTTTGCCATCTGAGTAAGTCACATTTATTTATTTGTCCAATCTCCATGCATAAAATAAAGACTCTGAAAGACAAATGTACTTAGTTTCATCCCAAAAGGATATAGTCATTTTTTTCTTATAAAGACAAGAAAAATATTGGTGAGATGATTATTTTCTGGTATCCCTTATAATAGAGCATAGAGAATGGAGCTGAGTATGGCCTTCCTTCAAGGGAATGTTAATGTTTCCTCTAGCAACACTTGGCTCATGCTTCACGAAAACCTGTCCATGATTTCAACATTTTCCTTTGGAGGACCCATGGTAAAATATGTGAATGAGTACAAAAATATGTTTATATAGCTTGCAAATTTTCTTTGTTAACTTTTGTGTCATATTTGGGTAGTTGGGATGTTTTGTTACCTCTGTCAATGATAAAGAAGGGATTTTCCTTCAGGTATGGGTTAGATCAGATGACTACTGCAGTCTTCTCAAAATCAAAGCTTATGCAATTCTGTAACACATAAAACCTCTACGTTTCTGAAAAACGTAGGAAGAGGTAATTGAAACAAGATCAGGATATTTATATGTTGTCTTGATACATAGAGTTTCTTCTAAGAAGTTCATAATACTTTAGAAGTAAATATTTTTTTAAAGTATTAAAGGCTTTTAAAGATGGAAAGTTTTCCATAATAGGGTCCCAGTCAATCTCTTCTCTTTGCATATTGGCTCTGAATACTAACCTGGTTCAGGTCTCAGGAAAACAAAATCAAGGTGTTTCAGCTTGTTATTTTTAGAAATATTGCTAAGAAACTGGTTCCAGCCTTTACTCTCCCATTCTAAAGCTGTCCTCAAGCTGTTGCAGACACAACCAGACATTTTTTAAGATATGTAATTGAATGTTTCAGCCATGAGACAAATACCAGTAAAGGCAACTCCTATGTCTTTCATTATTTGTCAAAATAATCATATAATTTGGTGTGATCAAACTGTTCCACCATACTCCACCTGACAGCTCTCTCACCTTCCCTGTTCAGAACACAACACCTTGATTTTCCTATTGACCACCTAGTCTCCATGTTTTCCTAGATTTCCATCATCCCTCCATTTCATGGAGAAAGCCAGAGAACAGGCCTAGGAGAGCAATCAGAAAGGGGGAAATTTCTATTCAAGGAAGAAAGCAATAGAAAGGAAAATCCTGGAAGTTAGGGAGTTTGAGAATACCACCTGATTGAATATGGAGGGAAAGGTGACAATAGCATCTTAATTGCCTTTTTGTGTTATCTCTTCTAATGTTCCATTAGCGAGGATGATGAAGTGTTAACTGTACCAACTTTTCTATCAAATTGGTTTGATATGCCAAGACTCATGTGGGCATAAGACATAATTATATGGTGCCCTTGAGGTGTGAGAAAGAGACCCCATTTGCTGAGATTCTCTTCCCTCCCCCTCTGCCCCCACCTATTAATGAAGGGAAAGTACATTCATATTCATAACATATTATAGATATCAAGATGTCTTTTGGAAAGAGGATTGAATTATGGTAAGCAGCTGCTCTGGGAAAGAACTAAATATGTATTTACCATGGGACCCTTCCCAGTTAGGACTCTCATGCTGACTCCTGTCCCTACAACTCAACAGCACTGGAAAAAGACTAAGGGAAACAGAAGCTCAGTTTACCCAAGATGTGGCCAAGATAATGCTCCATCCCAAAGAATACCTTTTCAAGATACACAGTGTGTAAAATTACTTTGGATGACTGCATAATGAAAGGGACTCGAACAATGGCTTCTCCTCCCACTGAAGCTTGTCCATCATCTCCAAGCTGCTGTGGTATGAACATGGCCCCGGGCTTTTCCCATGTGGCCCTTAAAGAATTCTAACGAGAGGCACCCGTAGAGCGTGCTGAGCTGGAATTGCAATCCCAGTGGCACTAAAGCTGTTGAAGTAGTTCAGCCTTCACTGTTCACATCAGGTTGCCAAAAAGAAAATGAATTGCCTGATTTGAAAAGACATTTTTTTCCCTATTGTTTTTGGCGGCTAGGATGATCCCCTTGTTTCTTCCCCCATAATCAAGCACTGCAGAGCGTCAGGCCTGTGTGCTAACAATTTAAACTAGGAAAAACTGAGTTTGCAGGTGACCAATTTGCTTCAATCTGCTTGCAGCCTGTCCCAAGGGAGCCTATGGAGCTGGCTGCTCTTCCGAATGTCAGTGTATGGAGGAAAACACCCTGGAATGCGATGCCAAAAATGGTTCATGCACCTGCAAATCTGGTTACCAAGGCAACAGATGCCAGGAAGGTATAATCCGATGACCACTTCCTTTCTTCTCAGTATTTACATTGCTTTCTATTTCATCCAACACCCCATGGTCACTTAGTTAATCTACCAGTGGTCCCAGGAGGTGAGGGTGCATCCTTAATCCCCTATGTGCAGGTGAGGAAATGGGACATGGAGAAATGGACTAATTACCTTCATCTTCACAGTCTCTGGTGTTAGGCAGCACTGGGTAAGCCTTAGCAATGCAAGAAAGATCAAATTTCAGGGTATCTCACACTAAGAAGATTAAGGTGAACCAATCACTCCACTGTATACTAAGTAGTTAAGAGAACCCTGAGCTGGTTACCATCTGGGCTCTAAAAAACCATTTCTCTAATGGAAAGAATGTCCATTCCAGCAGATATGAGTCACCGACTTCTAACCAGAGGAGGAGAATGAGGTTACAAACTGGTCAGGATAATTGTTCTTTCTGAAGCATGCATTTGTTACATAAATACCTTGTGATCCAAATACATAGAGAACATTGAACAGAGAGCTAGTCAAAGTGATCTGAAGTCATGTGAAGTGTTCTGGGACAACAGAATTTGATTTTAACCCTGGGTCTTGGAAAGTTAGAGGATCTGAGTCTAAGTTCTTCATCATTTCATCCTGAACTTATTGACTAGCCACGTCACTTACTTAACCCGGCTCATTCATAAGAAGAGGAGATTTGGCCCAATCATCTCTAATGCTCCTTCCATCTCCTTTTCATGGGTGACAGATATCCCTTTGTATATGGAGGGCATGCCCTCTGGTGTATCAGGTACTAGATCATGGTTTCATTGGTATAGGGGCAACTCCTTTTTCCAAGAAGACTAATAGTCTTAGAAATACATCTGGGACCCTACGATGTTAAATGACCTGCCCAGAGTCACACAGTCTGTATTTGTCAGAGGCAAGACTTGAACTGGGATATTTCTATAATGTTGTGTAAAAAAAAAAAAGCTTAAAAGGAGGGATTTATAAAACCAAAGGATTATGGATTTAGAGCTGGATGCGACCTCATTGGCCATGGAGCCCAACCCTCTCATTTTACAGAATAGGAAAATGAGCCCCAGGAAGGTTAAATAAGTTGCCCAGGGTGACACAGGTAATAAATAGTAGATTAAGGATTCAAAATCGGGTTTCCCAACTCCAAATCTTGCATACTTCCAACTGTACCAAAATGGTTTAACGCATTGCCTTTTATGTGTCAGTTAGGTGGCGCCCTAGAGCATAGAACGCTGGGCCTGGAATGCAAAAGGCCTGAGTTCCAGTGTGAACTCAGATACTTACTAGCAGTGTGACCCTGTACAAGTCACTTAACCTCTGCTTGCCTTAATTTTCTCATCTGTGCAGTGGGGAAAACGATACCTCCCTACCTCCTAGTGTTGTTGTGAGGATCAAAAAGGTGTTAATTGTAAATTGTTTCACATGGTGCTTGAATGTTAACAGCTGCTGTTATTATTATTAATTATTATTATTCAGTGAGGCCAACTTTTTCAAACTTCAGATAGCCAGAGGTGTCTTTTAGGAGACAAATGGGGAGTAGGAAGTGTATTTCTACCTTTAGGCTTATGTCTAGTCTGTGGGCTCATTTCTGAAAGTTGCCTTGAATGTCTTTATGCTACTCATGTCTCTCATAAAATAATTTAGCCTTTGGTTGGATTCCAAAGAATGCCTACCAAATTTTTATGGTCCTGGCTGCAAATTGCCATGTACCTGCTCTGAGTCACCCTGTGACCATATAAGTGGAGAAAGCCCGAAGCAATGCTCGCCAGGGTTCCATGGAGACAGGTGCCACTGAGGTGAATTATAATTGGTAGAACCCTGGAAGAAATTGGTTCAAATCCTACCTCAGGCCTATCAGCTGCAAAACTCTAGGAAAATCACTTAATCTAATCCCTCCGAGCCTCAGTCTCCTATAAAAATGGGGATAGCAATAACACCTACTCCACATCGTCATCATGAGGTTTAAATGAGATTATGTATATAAAGTGCTTTGTAAACCATTAAATACTCTCTAAATCTGAAGTATGATTATCAGCTAAGAAAATTTATAGTGCATAAGTATAGATGGTATAGTGTACAAAAAGCAATTCGGCCCACAAGTGCTGTCTCTAACCCACACTGGTTGTATGTCCCTAGGCAGGTCACTTTATTTCTCAGTGACCCCAGGCAATCACTCCTCAATATGCCTCTGTATACATTCTATGCACACACACACACACACACACACACACACACACACACACACACTTATGTACATATTACTTGAAAAGTGAAAAATTATCTATTTTTTTCAAGGAGACAGAGAAAACAAGGTCAGGAAAGAGAAATAAGAAAAAATAAATTTCTAGCAGTTAGAATCTACATTTGCTATGAGGCCCTGAACCAATGACTTAACCTTCTAATGCTAGGAATTAGTTCCCAGGCAGGAGAGACTGTTTTCCCAGTGGTGAAATCATACTTTGGAAGAAAAGGGATGGGAGGTGGAAACCATACCCCTAGGTAAATGTAATTTATTCTGATAACATTTCCTTAAAATAGCTGCTGAATAAACAAGACTGGGAGCTACCTCTCCTATTCCCACTGTGATGGAAAAGAAGTTGAAGGTCTATGTAAATCAGCCAAGTAGAGAGGTCACTGTAATCTCTGGAAAACATATTATTTTTCAATCAGATAACTTTGCCCAATTCTAATATTTTTGTCTAACCACAAAATGAAATTATGAATAAGACTGTCACAAGTGAATGAGTCAGCCATGATTGGCAGCTGAAATCAAGGCGAAAGGGGCTATTGAAGAGTTTTTACCCGATGAAAACCAGGTCTTGTTGTTTTCTGGGGGTTATATGCATTTTTTTGAGAAATAAAATAACCTTATCATTCTAAGCCTCAGAGATCCCTCTAAAATTCTGAAGGTAGGAACCAGTGTCTCTTCCTCTCATGTATCATTAATTAAAGATCTCAAATTGTTTCAGGGACACTAATGAAACAGAGCTTTCCATCAGCACCACTCAGGTTGGTAAGCACTGTTACAAATTACTTTGAACAGCAGAATATCCTGTTTCCTCCACCAATCTATTAGATGACCAAAAAAAAAAAAAAAAGACAATCAATGGCCTGGCCTTGTTTGCTACAGCATGTAGCCCAGGATATTTTGGGCTGACAGTAATCAAAGCTGTGACTGCGGACGGGCACCTTGTGATACAGGGACAGTCCAATGTCAACATCAGGATGGCAAAGCTGGACTTCCCTTAAATGAAAGTGGGCCTTGTGCTGCTCATCTTGGGAGCTCTGTGCATTTCACACACAGAATTTGGAGGCCCTTTTCTGAAAAGTCAGTTTAGTTTTGGAAAGATGCTGAATGGGCAGGGCTGGACATAGCATAATTGGATTTATTCAGAACCAGGTACTGCTAAGGTCCATCACCAAAGGATTTTGTTGGCTCATGGCTCCCTTACTGCCATCTTTCTCCACCTGGGAATTACTTCCATTGGGATTCTGATTCAGGTGAAGAGTTTGGTTACAAAAATAACAACAGCAACAACAGAAAAACCCAATTCATTAGTCTCAATTTCCTTGTACGTAAAATTATGGGTAGTCTGAACTACATGGCCTCTGAGCTCCCTTTCATCTCTTCCATCTCCTGTTAATTCATGACAGAAAGAACCATCCAGTCTGGCAGCTCATCATTTCTCTGCCTAAGGCACCTATATTTAATGATCCTGTCACAGATACCATTTTATGGTGGCAGTCTCTAGGGTCTGAGGACCCCCTGAACTCTGAACTCTCAAAAGCAACCAGGACCAGGAAAACAATCCCATAGCAGCTCCACCACCCTGTGGCTGCTTCCCAAATTGTTTCCTGAACTTCTGTCCCAAATTAGATTAGATTTAAAGTTCTTCTATTCAGGTCTTCCCTGAGATAGCTACCAAAATTGTTTCCACTGGTAGTCTTAAGAAACCACTTTTTTAAAAGGTATTTCAGCAAAACTATCAGTTTCTGTACCTGTTTTTCCAAAGTGACAAGATAGAGTAGCATGTTGATTTCTACAGGGAATTTGGAAGGAAAAAGCTAGAAATCCTTAGAGATTGCAAGAATGTTTTTTTCTTTTCAACATGCTGAGATACATATGCTTTTATGGTGTTATATAAACATATATACCTATTACCATATATCATTTTACTTGTTACTATATGTGTATGTATATGTATGTGTGTATGTATTTCTTCCAATTCTCTCAAGCCATAGCAGAAATCTGTGCTTATCTCGAGATTATAACACAAATTTGCCTTCCTTTTACCTTTCTTTTTTATTTTTCAAGACTATTCCCAAAGGCTGTGGGGAGCTGAGTACCAACTCTCCTGCAGACACTTTGAAAATGGAGGTCAGTGCGACAAAGAGACAAGGATTTGTGACTGCCTTCCAGGACATACTGGAAAATCCCCTTTCTACCTAAGTCATCAAAATGCACAGGCCCACCAAAGAAAGTCAAAAAAGACATCAGCCTTATAATTGATTTAAAAAAAAAACCTTTTCTGTTGTTTTATGAGCTGCTGCTATGATAGGGTATACTAATTAGGTTATGGTGGGAGACACTTGAAAGAACTTTCTAGCCCACATTTATGGTTCTTTTCAGAAAAAAAGATGTTAGACTAATAAAAAGTAATGAGCTAAACAAAGAAGTTGCCTAAAAGAGTGCAAGCATAATACCTCCATCTTCTTTTCTGATGGACAGCCTGATAAATCAATGGAAAGCCTCGCTGGGCGCCATCGTGCTGGTGAATAGGCTTCAGTTTAACTCTGAAGGCGGAGAGAACATGAGAAGCCTTAGCACATGTAAAAGAGGTATATCAGCCTACTCCTCCCCCAATTAGTGGTTAGACAGTATGGTTTAACAGTCAGAGAGTTGGCTTCTGAATCGGAAAGATCTAGGTTTGGGTCTTTCTTTCTCTCACCCATACAGACTTCCTGGGTAAGTCACTTCAACAGTACTTGAG